AATTCTCTAAATCTTATACCCCAAGATCAATTTAATTAGAAACAATAATCGACGGTTATGATTCGTCCAAATATAGGCAAAAAAAGTAATGCAGCATCTTAGGGTTTATAGGTAATGATTAAGATAATTAGGACTCAGGGTTCACTCATTAAGGGTTAGGGTATAGTATCATGCCCAAAAATCCTGCTAATTCGAGGTCTAGATAGTGTTTTCATACTCAAGGTATGCGGTACCCCGGATTTCACCCGGGGTACTGTAGAAGGCACCATATATATATATATATATATATGGTGATGACTGGTGTACGTCAGGCGTATAGTATACGTCAGGTGATCTAGCCGTTAGATGTAGTTAGATGAGCTCTGGTCGATCACAACGGTCAATTTTTGTTTTTCATTAAATCAAACTTCGGGTTAGGGTTTAGAAAATCGGTGCCTGGGGTTTATCCATTAGAGGTTAGGGTATAGTATCATACCTCAAACTCGATTTAATTCATGGTCTAGATAGAGATATCTCAGTTGTAGTACCTGACGTATAGTATACGCCTGGCGTACGCCAGTCTGACCCATATATATATATATATATATATATATATATAATTCGTATTTAAATGTGGTAATACATAGTTTTATAGCACTGAATTATCTACGTAACCCGAGCCAAAAACTTGTTGTCAGAAACTTAGTAATTTGGGGGTTTATTTGTTATTTGACGTTTTATATTCTGTTGACTATTTTGGGAACTATTGGGGGTAAATCGGTTAGGTTAAGTCTTTGGGTATCTAGAGGGAATTAGTCGGTTTATATATATTCTGTGTTAGGCATCAGTGAGGGTTAAGCAATAACAACAGAATTATTCCCTAAGTCTCTCTCTCTCCCCATCACCGCCGAACTCTCTCTCTCCCCTCTCCAACTCGTCGGCCACCATCCCGGTGCCCGGAAACCTCTTCTCTCAACCCTAATTCCCTAATTCTACCTCATCCCAAATCCCTAAATCTCATATCAATCACGATCACCAATCGCACACCTAGATCCGTGCTCTTTCAGTGGTATCAGAGCCTGGCTGGTGTGCCGATTCTCTGAAGAAACACTGCAGTCTGAAGATGTCAAACCCGGTGGACAAGCAATAACCGCAGCGCCAGCTCAAGGAGGTGGTAACAGTCAAGGATGTGACGACGAACAAGTACGATGCGCTGGCAGCATCGTTGGAGAGCTTGACGGAGGTGACTGTGAGGGCAGCTGAGGCCTCCAAGGGTTCGATAGGAGCAATCGAAGCCATGGGCGACCAGATCAAGGCTTCTATTGAAGAGATGGGCAAGAGCGTGGCTGAAAACATCTGTGGAGCCTTGGCAGCGACAATGCAGGAGGTGCTAACCCAAGTCCTGAAGAACCGGGAGCCGTTGGCGGCTCCGGCTATAGGGGCGGCACCGGCAGCAGCCACCGCGACGGGAGTGAAGCCGTCGGAGGCAGCCGCGGCGGGCTCGGGGGCGCAAGGGGTCCCGCGCGGCGACGCGGGCATCGGGCAAGCCGGGGCGCGCGCGCGGCAGGAGGAGACGGAGGCGGAGGAGAAGCAGCCGGGCGGCGGGGCCGAGGCCGGGACGACGCAGGTGCTGGCTGCGTCGGGCAGGGCGCCGGGAAACTTGGGCGCCAGGTCTCCAACCGCGCCTGTATTCAGCGGGCCTGGCCTGCTACCAACTCCGACGGACCTGGCCCAAGACAAGGCCCAGGGAAAGCGGAAGATGGCAGGGTACGAAGGCGAGCCATTGTCGTTTGGGCCTGACAGAGAAGAACCCTGGCCCGAGGAGGAAGAGTTGAGTTTTGGTGACCAGGAAGGCTGGATGGACCCGAGCCCAGAGGAGGCGAGATGGGGCTGGGTCGCGGGATCGAAACCGGGCTGGGTGCAAGGTGGCCAGCCGGTCGGGCAAAAGCCGGTCGGACCAAACCGAACCGGTCCGGGTTATCCACAGTCGGGCAGCAGTTGGTATGGACCGAGCAGGGGTCCCGGCAGGGGCCCGGAGTACGGATACCCCCCGTGGAGTACCCCGCGGGCAGGAGGAGGGCGCGGTCCAGTTTGGCAGGATATGGGGCAGGGGTCGGGGACCCAGCCTGAGTACCAGGGGAACCACCAGGAGGCGACGGGCGACTGGCCCCACCCTCCCCCGCAGCGAGCCGCGGGCAGCCACTGCCGCCAAGGAGCAAGGAACCCGCCACCACCACCGAACGCAGGCAGGTATGAGTACCATAACCCTCTGTATGAGAATGAAGAGGAATTGGTATTTAGAGCTAAACCGCCAGTGATAGAATTTCCCAAATTCGACGGCTCGGGAGATGTGGGTTTGTGGTTGTATGCAGCTGAGAGGTGGTTCCGGAACCACCCGATCCGAGAAGAGAGAAAGGCGCACCTGGCATCCTTCTATCTCGAAGGGGATGCGCTCCAGTGGTGGGAATGGACCGAGCGGGCCTATGTAGCAGCAGGTGGGTTCATCTCGTGGCCCATGTTCCAGGATGAGCTACGCTACCAGTTTGGCAAGGCAGAGGGGTGGGCCCCGGAACAGCTGGCCAAGCTCAGGCAGACAGGGTCGGTGGCTGAGTATCGCACGGAGTTCCTTAAACTGGGAAACTAGTGCAAGGAAATGACGGAGGAGACCCTGGTTGGACTGTGTATGGCGGGACTCCGCCCGGAGCTAGCAACCGCAGTTAAGGTTTTCGAACCTGACTCTCTTCGAGTTGCTTTCAGGATTGCAGGGCGCAAGGAAGAGGAGCTGGCTAGTTGGAGGACGTCGGCTGGGCGAATCCAGAAGGCCAGTGGAGGAGTGGGAGCAGGAGCTGGTACCTCGCCGCCGTCGGGAAATGCAAGCTCGGCGGCCACCGGCGCGACAGCAGCGAGCAGATTCCAGTCAAGGCTGCCACCAAAGGGGTTTGTCCGGCTGACGCAGGCGAAAATGGACCAGAAGCGCAGAGACGGTCGTTGCTTTAACTGCGTCGAAAGGTACACGGTGGGGCATCAATGCGCCAAGGGTCATCTCATGCTGCTGGTGGGGAACTGGGAAGATGAAGGAGAGGAAATGGAGGCGCGAGAAGCGGAAGAGAAGAAGGAAGAGAAGAAAGAAGGTCCACCTTGAGGGCAAGGTGGGTTTCAAGGGGGATGGAATGTCAGACACTTAGTAATTTGGGGGTTTATTTGTTATTTGACGGTTTATATTCTGTTGACTATTTTGGGAACTATTGGGGGTAAATCGGTTAGGTTAAGTCTTTGGGTATCTAGAGGGAATTAGTCGGTTTATATATATTCTGTGTTAGGCATTAGTGAGGGTTAAGCAATAACAACAGAATTATTCCCTAAGTCTCTCTCTCTCCCCATCACCGCCGAACTCTCTCTCTCCCCTCTCCAACTCGTCGGCCACCATCCCGGTGCCCGGAAACCTCTTCTCTCAACCCTAATTCCCTAATTCTACCTCATCCCAAATCCCTAAATCTCATACCAATCACGATCACCAATCGCACACCTAGATCCGTGCTCTTTTACTTGCCCTTTAGTTTTTGTGTACAAAACCAGAGAAGTCATGGAATTCCCGCTGAAGCAAGAACTTGGTCACTTTTGTTCTGTTTTTCCCATCCAAAGCAAAGCGCCAAGCGGCCTCAGATGTTGAGTAGGGGAAACAAACAAGAACGACGAGCACGCCCTAAATATTCATATTCTATAAGTGGCGCCCATTTTCAGAATTTCCAACCTCAATTTCCAGCTAAAATGGCTTATCTGTTGATCTTATCGCGAACAGAAAGGAGAAGCTAGTCTATCTAGCTAGCTGTATATTTGGTATGGCAGAATGCCAAATCACGTTACGGTATCGGCGGTTACGTATCAATTTTATACCGTAAAATAGTGATGGAAATTGAGCAAAAAGAGACGACAAGGAAAAAGGAAAGATACGTTGGGGTGGGTCTATGTGGATGTGTAATTAATTAGCCTAATCTCGTATTATAGGTAATGACGACAAAGATTGATTAATTATATTATCAACTGGACTCATCCGTGTCGAGATCATACACACAATCTGTTTATTGTTCAGGACTGAGGGGGAGAGTCTTATGTGGGGCAACTAGTTTTATGGTGAATGACTCGTTAGGTGTAGAAACGGCGACGGAGTGCATTATCTCAATATTCATATTTGTTTGTTTGGGAGTATCGGCGGAGGCATGTCGATTTAAATGAGTATGTATGTTAATTGAAAATACTTGAAATGTTAGTTTTATCTATTGAAAATGGAGAAACAAACTATAGCGTTATTGATAATAGTTGAATTATTCGAGAAATCGTAATTCTTACCTATTTACTATTTATTATGGGTAAAATATGATGTAACTAAACTAAAATTATAAGTAGTTTGTGTAAAATTGAATAAACTTTAAACATATAACGGTTAAAGAATGAGGTGGGTCAACACATATCAAATCGGAAAAAAAAAAATATTGCGCTCGTTTCATCATCTCAAACTAAGACAACCAAGTCAGATAAAACTGGTCATGTTAAAATTGTCATATCTGACCGAGTGATTCGCTTGATTGTCATTATTTATTGACTTTCCTTGACCATTCTTTTTTCTCTTAATTTGTTCTTCATTACAATCGAAAATCTATTACAAGAGTGTTGTTAGAGTGGTGGTGAAAGGAGCAATCGCCTCTGAGATTCGAACCAGAGAGTTTCATATTGAAAATCAGCAACACCACCTCTCCACCACAACCCCATTCGTCAGAATTTCCAATAAGCTGTGTTATCTTAAATATCAATAATTACATCTATTAAAAATTTGGTTATATGGAAACCGCGCGCACAGTCAATTTTGAAACGCGAGAGCAATAAATGTAGGGGTGGCAACGAAGTGAAAGGAAACTACAAGACTTGTCTGGTAATTAGCCCAAAATGAACCAAGACGTGATTCGGGCTGTAAATTCAAAATTGGCTCACACAAAAAAGCCCACGTCAGAAGGACGTGTCGTGATGTCCAGACCCACCAGCACACGTGGCTCCTCCATTAGGCTTAAATAACCAGGTGGGGCAAATACGTCATTCCACATAACTGGGTGCGGTCTCTTAACTCTCTCTATAAAAACCCTCTCCCACTCCCACAGATAGAACTCGTCACCGCCATTGCAGAGAGCGTAAAAGCAAGCACTGAGATTTCCAAAATCCGTCTGAAATCTGAATCAATAAACGAACCCACAATCCGCAACCTCTGTCTCTTCTTTTCCCCCCTTTTATCTTATCCTCCATTTTCGTCAAACAATGGGTCAGGTGAACGGAGACACGCCGTCGACGATCCTCGACGATTTCCTCGACAAGTGCGGCGGCTGCGCTGTGGTGGACGGCGGTTTCGCCACCGAACTCGAGCGCTACGGTGCCGACCTCAACGATCCACTCTGGAGCGCCAAATGCCTCATCAGTTCCCCTCAGCTCGTCAGAAGGGTACCTCGCCATTTCCCCTCTTGTCAAATTCACGCCATTTTTTAATTTTTTTTTTAATGTTTCCACATTTCGCTCTTCCGGCGAGTCGATTTCTCTCCTCCGTCAGCCGTTTTCGGTTCGGTTGAAATGTTGGAGACATTTAGTTTCCCCCCTCATTTTCGCTCCTTGTAAGAAAAAGGGAAAAGGAACAATAAGCAGAGAATTGATAAGGGGACGGCAGAGGTTGTTAATGGAGTAAAGATGGGTTCTAAAAAGTAGGTGGAAGAGTGCTTGCTGGATGTGTCCAATTTCTGACAACGATGTGTCAGATTTTAATCTTTAGTAATAACTCCCATGTGAACTCATCAGGAAGTTCGGATTTTTCTTTGCAACTTGCTTTAGTCAAATGGTTTCATCCGCATGTTGATTTACTGAATTGAAACTTGACAGGTTCACTTGGATTATCTTGATGCTGGAGCTAATATAATCCTGACAGCATCTTACCAGGTGAAAGATAAAATATCCATTCAAATTGCTATAATAACTTATCTGCTAGATTTCTGTCTTTCTGAAGCTTTAGTGGTGCTGATGACTGATGTTATTATAATGAAACAAATTGGGTGGCCAGGCTACCATCCAAGGGTTTGAATCAAAAGGCATGTCAAGGGAGGAAGCTGAGCATCTCTTGAAGAGGAGTGTGGAGATCGCCTGTGAGGCCAGGGAGATTTATGCTGACAAATCTCGTAAAAGCTCTTGGGAGTTTGTTGAAAGTGGGCAAGCCTCCAGGCGCCCTGTTCTGATTGCAGCTTCCATTGGCAGCTATGGAGCTTATTTGGCTGATGGCTCTGAGTACAGGTCAATCACTTAACTAGTCGAACTCATTTTGTTAACATTGAAAAAGAACCATATTTGAAATATTGGGTTCCACATCATTATCCATCAATCCAACCCATCTACCCACCAACCCAATGGATACCTGTCAAATGAATCTTAAGTGGTTGGGGTGACATTTGCCACCTCTATTATGGACCTTGAATGGTCTAGTGTTAATCTCATTCTCGCAGTGGGAACTATGGGGAAGCAATTACCCTCCAAGCATTGAAAGACTTCCATAGGAGAAGGCTGCAGATTCTGGCAAACTCTGGTGCTGACTTGCTTGCCTTGGAGACGATCCCTAACAAGCTTGAAGCCCAGGCGTATGCCGAGCTTCTTGAAGAGGAAGCCATGATGAACGCACCAGCGTGGTTCTCTTTCTCTTCCAAAGACGGAGTCAATGTGGTGAGTGGGGATTCCATAAGCGAGTGTGCTTCCATTGCAGATTCCTGCAAGCAAGTTGTTGCTGTTGGTATCAACTGCACTCCTCCTAGGTTCATCCATGACCTCCTCGTCTCTATCCGCAAGGTAGATATTGAAGCTCCTCCTCCTTTTTCTTTCTTTTACCTAATCTCGGAGAAAGCCTGATAAAGACGCAAGACCCTTATGGTTTGCAGGTAACCAACAAGCCAATAATTATATATCCGAACAGCGGGGAGACTTATGATCCTGAGCAGAAGCAGTGGGTGGTAAGTACGCAAGAGCAGTAAGCTTCATTAATGGCTGATTTCTTCTTTTGTTTTGCACCATGAAGAGCTGAATTCAGTGTTGATCTTTTGACTCTTGTGACGTTGTGCTGCAGAATTCGAGCGGGGTTTCGGATGAGGACTTCGTGTCCTACGTCGGGAAGTGGAGAGAAGCGGGGGCTTCACTGTTTGGTGGGTGTTGCAGAACTACTCCTAATACCATCAGGGGAATCTGCAGGGTTCTTTCCGAAGACGGATCAAAGTGAAAAGGGTTTGGCTAGCTGGGAGTTCCTGTTCTAGGGAGAATCACTAGTTTACTGAAGAGGAGGAAAATGTTGCTTAATAAGCTTCTCTCTTCTTTTGCCTCTTTGTTGCTGTCTGTAACCCCCCTCGTTGTACTTAGAAATGCAGCTTTATTGCTGGTTAATTTGTATGATTCAAATGGCAATGGTGAAGTAAAATGTTTTTTCTGAATTAAGATGGGACTTTGCCCTAGCAACCTTTTGACACACACTTGTACGAGTTTACACTTTACACGGTACACACATCATTTGCATAAACCACTAATCAAATTGTACCGTACCTGCAGTTCAATGAAAAATATCTTATGTGTTTTTTGTTGACATGATACAGTTGGACACCGATTAAATAACAATTTGAATATAAATAATCTATTGCAATGGAAATATCTTATGTGTTTTTTGTTGGCATGATACAGTTGGACACCGATTAAATAACAATTTGAATATAAATAATCTATAGCAATGGAAATATCTTATGTGTTTTTTTGTTGCCATGATACAGTTGAACATCGATTAAATGACAATTTGAATATAAAATAATTTATTGACGGTTTGATAAATAAATTTTTAGCATGATAATAGACTAAACTAGTTTAAATTGATAAATAATTTTTAGCATTAAGAAATAGTTAGATATATTAATACAAATATCTTACGTGTTTGGCATGATAATACAGTTGGACAACGATTAAATGATAATTTGAATATAAAATAATCTATTGATAAGTCTATCAGAAAAATCTTCTATTACAGAGTAAACTAGTTTAAACCGAGAAGTAATTTTTAACGTTATGAAACAGTTAAATGCATATTAATACACCGTTTCAATATAAAATAGTCTATTACAACTCTTTGAAGAGAAACCGACGAATTTCATACCACCTTAAAAGTAAGGTGGGTGGGGCTTAAAATGGCTTAAACACTGTGCGAGTTTCACCGCTGTTGTCAATCGCAGTGAGGAGCTAAAAGTTATGCACAATAATAAAAAACTTTACGACGTTCGGATTGAGGAGCTAAAAGTTATGTTCTTCCAAAGTTTGGCAAAATTGAAAAATTGCTCGTTCGGGGTAACAAACGACATTTTTTTAGATGAAGTATTGAAAGATCTTGAAAATTTATATGGAATCAAAATTTTTTTCGCTACAATCGGATAACTGAGCACAAAATTACGTTTGTTTGAAGTTTTAGTGTTACGTAAAGCATTCACCGCGACCGTCAACGCGGTGATGCATTCACCACTTTGGTCTGCCGCGGTGAATGCATTCACTGCGGTTGACAACAGCGGTGATGCCCAAACATATGTATTTTGAGAATTTTTTTATAACGTGTGTATTTTGAGAATTTTTTTTAAAAACACGTGTATTTTGGGATTTCATCCTATATAATTATGAATCACTGCTGGTGCTATGCTAGTAATGCTACTACTAAAAAGCACAATTGCTAAAACCATAAACGAATACTGCTACTAATTAACCATGACAAAAAGAAGAATACTACTACTAATTCGCTAATTGAATTATGGCCGGTTCAAAACCCATTGCAAGTCCCAGAAAATATCCTAACCTCGAACCGCTGTCGCAGTTACTTTCGACTCCGAGCATCTCCCCGCTCGTCGCTAGTCGCTACTAAACTCACCAGTACTCCGCTACCAGCAGCTACTGTAACTGATGGCTACCGTTATTACGCCGGCGTCTCTAATTCCCGTCTCTTCAACCTCCAACTTAACTTTTACCATCCAACATGAACCTGCATCAGCGGCAGGTTACTCTTTGCCCCGGACTGGGTCGTTCAAGAACTGCAAATCCATGCTAGAGCTAAAGCAGCTGCAGTCCCAAATCACCAAAACGGGTCAAGACCAGGACCCGTCTTCAATCACGGGTCTTATCTCCTCCTGCATCGAGATGGGCACAGATGTGAGTTTGGATTACGCCCGCAAAGCATTGGAAGTCTTCGTCGAAGATAACGGACCGACGGGGAGTCTGTACATGTTCAACTCTGTGATTAGGGGTTATTCTTCTCGTGGGTTTGGAGACAGAGCTATTTTGGTTTTCAACGAGATGTTGTGCGTTGGTGTTTGTCCAGATAAGTACACATTTCCCTTCTTGCTGAGTGGGTGCGCCAAGGCTGGAGCTTTCAGGGAGGGTATTCAGGCCCATGGAGTGATTGCCAAGATGGGTTTGTTCAGGGATGTGTTTGTTCAGAATTCGTTGATACACTTCTACGCAGAGTGCGGAGAGATTGAGCATATGAGGAAGGTGTTCGACGAAATGCGCGAGAGAAACATTGTGTCGTGGACCAGCTTGATTGGTGGTTATGCTAAGAGAAATTCGCCTAAAGAGGCTGTGACACTGTTTCTTGAGATGGTAGAAATGGGTATTGTGCCGAATCCAGTTACCCTGGTTTGTGCTATATCTGCTTGTGCCAAGTTACAGGATCTTGAGTTGGGCAAGAAGGTTTGTGCTTATATTGGGGAGTTCGGTCTGGAGGTTAATACGGTAATGACTAATGCACTTGTCGATATGTATATGAAATGTGGAGATATTGACTCGGCGAAGCGGCTTTTTGATGAATGCACTGATAAAAATTTGGTCTTGTGCAACACAATGATGTCAAATTATGTCCGCCATGGAATGCCTGTTGAAGGTCTCGTTGTCTTGGATCAGATGCTGCAACATGGTCCAAGACCCGACAGGGTTACCATGCTATCAGCAATCTCAGCTTGTTCACAAACGGAAGATCTTTTGCACGGAAGATCTTGCCATGGTTATATCTTGAGAAATGCTTTAGAACATTGGGATAATATTTGTAACGCCCTGATTGATATGTACATGAAGTGTGATAAACCACAAGCAGCCTGTGCACTCTTCAATCGCATGCCAAACAAGACTTCAGTGTCATGGAATTCTCTCATTTCTGGGTTTTTTAAATGTGGAGATGTGGAGTCAGCGTGGCAGCTCTTCCAGGAGATGCCAGACGCTGATCTTGTGTCTTGGAACACCATGATAGGGGCTTTAGTGCAAGACAGCATGTTCATGGAAGCAATTGAGCTTTTCCGGAAAATGCAGAACCAGGGTGTAGAACCAGATAGAGTGACTCTCATGGAACTTGCTTCTGCCTGTGGCTATCTTGGTGCTGTTGAACTTGCAAAATGGATATACTTGTATATTCAGAAGAAGGACGATATTCAGTGTGATCTGCGGCTTGGCACAGCCTTGATTGACATGTTTGCTAGGTGTGGTGATCCTCATGGTGCCATGCAAGTTTTCAGCCATATGGCTCAGAGAGATGTGTCAGCATGGACTGCAGCCATAGGAGCAATGGCCATGGAAGGAAATGGGAAACAAGCGATTGAGCTTTTCAATGAGATGCTGCATCAAGGAATTAAACCCGACGCAGTCGTGTTCGTCAATTTACTGACAGCACTGAGTCATGGCGGGTTAGTGGAAGAAGGATGGGAGTTCTTTGGTTCAATGGATGATTCATTTGGGATAAAGCCTAAAGTGGTCCATTACGGTTGCATGGTTGATTTGCTTGGTAGAGCTGGGTTACTTGCAGAAGCTCTTAATCTAATCAAGCACATGCCAATGGAGCCAAATGTTGTGATTTGGAGTTCACTCTTAGCTGCCTGCCGGATGCATAAAAATGTCGATGTTGCCAAATATGCAGCTGAAAAGATAGCTCAACTTGATCCTGAACGGCCGGGGATTCATGTTCTTCTGTCTACTATCTATGCATCTGCTGGTCAATGGAATGATGTTGCTAAAGTCAGGCTACAAATGAAAGAGCAAGGTGTCCAGAAAGGACCCGGGTCGAGCTCGGTTCAGATCGATGGCGAAGTTTACGAGTTCACCTCAGGTGCCGAAACCCGACCAGAAATGGACCGAATTGAACCCATGCTGCTAGAGATGAATTGCAGGTTGAGAGAGGCTGGGTATTCTCCCGATCTGACAAATGTTCTACTTGATGTGGATGAGCCAGAGAAAGAGTACTTGCTAAGTAGACACAGTGAGAAGCTTGCTATAGCCTTTTCCCTAATCAACACCGGCCAGGGAATGCCAGTCAGAGTGGTGAAGAACCTCAGGATCTGCTCTGATTGCCACACATTCGCCAAATCGGTATCGAAAGTGTACAACAGAGAAATCATCATTCGAGACAACAACAGGTTCCATTTCTTCCGGCACGGGTCCTGTTCTTGTAAAGATTATTGGTAGGTCAACATTATAATAGTTAGAGAACACTTTACAGTTTACATCCAACTCCCCATAAAGCTCAAATGGGGAGAAGTTTAATTGATGTAAGTATGATGTTGTGAGTTCATTTAAGAGAATTAGGGTTGTGAAGAGGAGTGTATCTGATGTAACTAGAGAAAACATTTCCCTAACTAATGGAAGACGTCTAATCTCACTGTGGACAGCATTAATCCTCTTGCTTGGGAAAAGGGATTGTCGTAAGAAATCCCCAGTTCTGTAATTTCATTGCGGCTGAACAGTTCACCATAGGTATTCTTAACAACGACAGTGAGCATTAATCTCATCTAGATTCCCACAACTATCTCTCTCCAAAAAGCTACACAAACCGCTCCCTTCCTTGCCTAGCTAATGCAGTAAACATGTAGGAAGTGAACAAGATGAAAAAAGTTGATAGAGTTTGCTATTGAAGGATGAAGCATCAGGGTTCATACATGGGTGTTTCAGACCTCAAACGAAAAGTCAGTCAGTCTGTAAGCAGGACGATTGCATCACGAATTCGGCGTGCACAGCTCGGGTACAAGACCATCGACGAAACGTTGGTGCATGGGATCAGAAATCCAGAGCTGAGCAATGTGAAGATGAGACGAGGTCTTCCTGTGGACTTCTTCAACTAGCCAGATGGTTGCCTCTGCTTTACTGGGGTGAATGATGAGATCCAGTGGCTGGTGCTGATTCTCGGTGCCGCTTCGCAGCTGGTCCCAGCGTTTGAGAATGATGTTGGTTAGGTAATGCAATGGCTGCCCGTAGAGTTGCTTCATCGACCTCCCTAGCTCCATCCATGAAGAACACGGAATCACGGAGCCACGGAGTGATGGGATGGGAAGCTCCTGCATGTAGTTCTGATACATTTCTGCAGTCTTGGTTATCATCTCTGTACACACACACACACAACACAGAGACAGATTGGCATGTTAGAAATGGTAAGCAAGATGGGCAGAGCAAGAATTGGCAGGGAAATAGAAATAGCTTAAACCTGGAGAATCCAATTCTAGTTCATGTTGGTTGAAAAACTGCTGGTGCTGCTGGGGATCGAAAACTCCATCTTCCTCGCCGTCGTTTTCTGCATCTGAGCTATCATCGGATATCACATCACACGGGATCGGCCTCTTCATGGTTCCTCCTCCGCCCGCCGTCGAATTCAGAGCCTCCCCCGATTCTCCCCACTTCCCTTGCGAACTGTCTCCATAAATGAGTTGAATCAATCACCTAAGAAACTAACCCAGGTGACGATATTGAATACAAACAAACCAATTCTAATGTTGCAACCCCAAATTTTGCAATCTCTACGGTCAATTCGATTGCGTCAGGAAACAAAGCAGCAATGGCGGAATCGTAAAGAGACCCAGAAGGGGAGAAGTGTGGCAAGAAAGAAACAAGAAAGAGGGACGAAGGGAGAAGAAAGAGGGGTAGGGAAGAATGAGAGTGAGACTTGCCGTGCGTGCTGGGTCTGGAGTCTGGGCTGTCGTTAATAATCCGGAGCTGAAACTGTGACGAAAGATGGATGGAGAGGGAGAAAGAAGAAGAAGTGGGAGGAGGTTATTAGGTCTGGCTGGCTGGCGGAGCTGTAAGAAAAGTGGGCCCAGTGACTGAGGGAGGATCCAGAATTCGAGGTCCTCGTCCTCGGCCGTTCCGTCATTGACTCATTTTCTAGGAGGAAAAGCGCACCATTATGTTTTTAAAGGCCTAGTCAAATTTTGATGGCGGTTAATGATCCGAGTTAAGTCGAGTAGAGATTGTTTTGTTTAGGTTTGGTTTATTAACAAATGAGTCGTTTGCAAACTTGACTCATTTATGAATAAGCTGAGTCGAGTCAATTTCGAACCGGCTCATTTACTAAAATCTACTCAACTCGTCATTAAATAGGAGTTTGACTTGAGCTCAACTCAATAATTTATATATGTGATTAATTGATCTCATGTCATATATGAGACATATTTGTTCAAATACTCAAAATCTTAAACATGTGAGATATGACATTTAATAAATTATAAATTTTTTTAATAAGCCTATGAATTATCAACGATCCAATTCATAATATATAAATTGATTTTCTCCAAGGTTGTCAAACCGCGGGTCGACCCGGACCCGGATGAGCTAGTGGGTCATGGGTCAATGGGTCACCCGATTTAGCCCGGTTTAGCCAGGAAATATGAAAAATGTAATTATATTATACTTATCCTGAATCCAACATAAAAAAATGCAACACTACTTCAACTCCAACACACTTAAATAACATCAACTTAAATTCAACATAGTAAAAATTCAACAACACTTAAATCATTCACAAAACATCACATATATCTTTCGTTCCATTTATTGGAACCAAGTCCCAAATCCTTACCAAATGACTATGACTCAGGGAACTAAAGTTAATGGAGAGGTTCGGGTCGCAAATAATGGAAAAGAAAAGACAATGAAGATGGTCTCCGCCGGCGAAGGAATTGGTGACCGACAATGAGAAGGGTGGAGGCACAGGCGGCCGAGGCGGCCGAGCTGAAGGGAGGGGAGACGGAACGGTGGCGGCCGACCTGTGAAGATGATTCTCTCCGCCGGCGACTCGGAGCGCGCTGCGATATCGATCGGCTGCGGGAGAGGGAGATGGCTGCGCTGCTGGAAATGGAATGCTATGTATGTTTGTAGGGTTTTGGTTTCCAGACGACCAGCAGGCCAACACCAAGCAGAACGACGCCGCTTCCCCTCCTCGTTTGCTCTCCCTGCAGTCCGCAAAAACGGCGACGCAACGGCCAGAAACGGGCTCAGAAAGAGCAACCCGCTGACCCGCTCCAACGGGCTAACTGGCCGGGCCAACCCGGGTTTGACTATTTCCGGGCTGACATGAAAATGGGTTGGTATGGCCCGTTTTTTTGGCCGGGTCCGGGTTAATCCGGGTCGACCCGTGGGTTGACAACCTTGATTTTCTCATAAGCAAGTAGTCGAGTTGGCTCACTAATTGAAAATGTGAGACATCTCATGAGCTCAAAACAAGAGTTCATAAGTTGAGCTCAACAACCCACCTAATCGAAATGGGACGGTCTGACAATTTTGTTATGAACTGGAAGTTTTGTGACCATAAATCCATAATGTTAATGTTTCAAAAGAGGGTGTGATTTGAGTCCGGGTGAATTGGGTTGCTTAATTAAGTGAATTCTGTATTAATAATTTTGGTGACATAGAGTGCTGACTGGACAAAACTAATAGCTATTTGGATGGAAAAGGTATGGAACAACCGTTTTAGTATACACTCAAATGTGCATTATCATTACATTACAAATTAAATGTTTGTGGTGGTTTTGTCTCCAAATTAAAAAATTACAATTTTCAACAAAATTTTGTATTTGGATATTAAATGGTGAAATCTGTCAAGTTTGATAACCCAACCCAAATTGATATGAGTATGAACTCATTAAACCCACTTATGTTATATTTCAAATTTTATATTCAATTCAGCCGAGTTAAAGGAATAAATATTCATGAATTTGGACAAACTATCACTTCTAACAAAATACAAAAATATTATAACTTAAAAAAAATCACTATTATAACTGATTTGGTGCGGTTCTGCACTTCTACTAATGGCTGATCCAATTTGTTTCTTATTCTAATCCAAAAACTAGGGATGTTCAAATGGTTACCATGGTTATAACCAAACCAAATAAGGCTAAATTCTATTAACCATGAAATACAATATCATAACCAAACCGTCCAAACTAATACAACAACCAAATTAACCAAACTAAAGTTTAATTGGTTTGGTTAATTGGTTAACCAGATTAACCAATATAAAATCACATTATCATTGACGATGAAAATTTTCCGGTTAATGCAACAATTCGCAATTTATATAATGAATAAAACATAACAACCAACACGTAGTTATAGTTGACCCTTAACAAAAATACATGCAACTAAGACAATTATCTTACGATTAGTATAGAAGTATTCACTGTAACACCCCGAATTTTGGATTATGGTTCGACCATGGTACATAATCGGTTGGGTTGACAGTGGCGTACTAGGAGTTGCAATCGCGGATTAGTAGTAGTAATAATCATAATAAAATCATTATTATTATTAGTACTTAAAAAAAAAAAAAAAGGAGCAGGGCGGCCACTTTCCCCAGCCGCCTATTCCATTCCCTAGCATCTCTTTTCCCCACAGCCGAACAAAACAAAAAAAAAAAAAATGAAGTTATAACCGTCAGCAAGAATTAAACCCCAGACCCTTCAATATAATCCCCAAACCCGCCGCCCTCTCCATTTCCTTTTCCCCGACCCTTCATGTTTTTCCCTCTCCCCAATTTCCTTTCCCAGACCCCGCCCCAATTTCCGATCCCAGCAAGCAGCAAGACTTTCCCCAGCGCCGCAAGCAGGCGCCATCCCAATCCCGATCCCATTCCTTTCGTGTTCTAGGTAATGATCACGAACCCCCTTTCGCGATTTCTATACGCGATTCATCGTTAGATTAATTCGAAGCTTGGTTTTTTATTAGCGGTGACGTTGAGGGTTCGATCAACGAGGAGATCAACGTCCCGGATCAGCCAATCTAGACCTAGGCACGTTCTAGAGGTAAGGGAACTCGATTCCTTGGAGTTAGATCGATCGATTTGGTGTTTTTCTTGAGTGTGCAATTCTGTGGTTTTAGCAACAGGCGATCAGGCCTTTAGTGACAAGGTTTGGGTGGTCACTAAAGCTGCTGGGAACTTTCAGAAAATTGGTTTTGGATGGTTTAAATTTGTTCGAGTCTCTGTGAGGGTTTGTCCTTGCGTTTAAAATTTTTATAAATTGAAGCAGGTCTAGGAGATGGCTGTAAATTAATTTAGGAATTTTTGAAGATGTATTTATAATTTTAGAAATTGTTCGAACATTCGTTTTAATTAAATAAAAATAATTCCGATGAGATTATAAGGGTTTGATAATTTTCCATGGTATAAGTACTCTTGATAGATGTAGGAAAATTACGATCCGAATTTTTAAGAAGGTTCAAGTTAGGTGGAAAATTCGTTCAAGACTAAAATAATTAGGAAAAGTGGTTGGTTTTGAAGGGACTGTTTTTAGAAAAATTTTAACGGGGATTAAGAGACCCTGGGAGCGAGTCTCTAGGGCTGGATGTTGAGGAGAGGATGTTCGAGTGACCCAAAAGGGGTTTCTAAAGCGAGAAAGGTCGACTAAGGAGATGACTTTCTTATTAATAGGTTCACCGAGATAATTCGGCTAGGAGGGATTCTTCGAGTAAAGAATCGAGGAGTCAGCTTTTTAAGGTGAGTGTAAAGGGGGTAAATTCTACGCCTTACGTGTTCTTTCAAGAATTTCAAGTTTTGAGTATTTTGATGAAGTGAATGTCGTTGTTTGATTGTGCTTATGATTGATGATATGTGATTGTGTTGAGCTATGCTTGATGTGAATTTGCATGAGTTCTTATTTAAATTTAAGCTTTAAGTTTATAAGTTATCGTTAAAGTTAAGAAGCCAGTCCTTTTTAAGAAGTAACTCACCTTCAAGAAGGTGAAGTCGTTTTAAGTGTTTTTAGTCACTAGCGCCAGTCCGTTGCCGTTTGAGACAGTTGAGATAGAGCAGCAGTTATGCTCTTGAGATTTTTTAAGATGGGCAGCAGTTATGCCCTTGAGAATCGTGGTGAAGAGCCACCACGATAAGTTTAAGACGTTAGGGGGATGAATCGTTACGACTTCCCTAACTAAGTTTAAGTTTAAGGAAAGCCTGAATGGCTTCTCATACGTATGAGTTGGCAACCGGACTAGCTAGTGAGGGATCCCCGTGTCTGTCAAAAGATTTAAGTAAAGTTTTGAGCTTTAAGAAGGGAGACTAACTTTAACTCCCGAAGAATTTTATGAGTTATAAGTTTTAAGAGTGTAAGTACAAAACAACTTCCACTAATAGAAGTTAAGTGTTTAGAGAAGAATACTAAAGTACTATAGATCTTATCGTAAGAGCGTAGACTGACCCCAATTCACTCACCAGATCGTAGAGGAGGAAATCCAAACCAGCCAGTCCGCGATCAGCAAGCTAGAGGAGCTCAACTCTATCGTCGTTGAGAGATGTCGAGTCAGGCGTCAGAGTAAGCTTCGAAGAACTTCTCAAGTTATTAAGACATTATGGTTAAGAGTTAAAGACTGGAGATTCATTTCCTTTGGACAATTTGAGTTTTGCCCACATGTTTAGGGCTACGGTTTGAGATATTGAGATATTTGAGTTTGGTATTTTTATTTAAACTTGTGTTATTTGAGATTTTTAACTATACCCCGGGGTAGAAATGTCTTTTTCCAAATTCAAAGAGAAGGGATGTTTCATTTTGGTATCAGAGCCGGTCGTCCTCTGTTTCTTGGTTTCCAAGAAATACTGGAATGTCGGTCTCAGTTTTGAAAGGTTTTGTTTTTAAAGATTTTAAGTCAAAGTTTGGCCAAACAAGTCAAGGATTTCATTTAAGAAATTTAGAATCTCCAGTCTACTCTAGACTATATTAAGGAAGAAATAACTGAGCTCTAACGAGACCCTATGCGTCTACAGTGCAAGTGTTGGCCAGAACCCCACACCACCGGTGCCCCCACCACAGAGACGTCCACCAGACTATGTAGGTTTTCGGAAGAGAAAGGTGGAGGATTTTAAGGGGGAGCGTTCAAC